CAGTTCTCTACTACATCCTATTATCTAGCCATAGGAACTGGTTTGACCTTGTTAGCACAACTACACAGCACGTGGTGCATGTTTGTGCGTTCGCTCGCCCGAATCTGTCAATGATAGGTCTGAGCGCAAGATGTCACCGCGCCAACGTCTAAATGCCATTTTTACCTCTATTTCTTCACACAATCCTCTACTACATCCTATTACCTAGCCATAGGAACTGGTTTGACCTCGTTAGCACAACTACACAGCACGTGGCGTATGCTTGTGCTTTCGCTGGCCCGAATCTGTGCAAGGATAGGTTTGTGCATAAGATGTCACTGCGCCAACGTGTAAATGCCTTTCTTAGCACTATTTCTTCACACATTTCTCTGCTACATCCTATTACCTAGCCATAGGAACTGGTTTGACCTCGTTAGCACAACTACGCAGCACGTGGCGCATGTTTGTGCGCCCGCTAACCCGAATCTGTGCAAGGATAGGTCTGTGCGCAAGATGTCATTGCGCCAACGTCTAAATGCATTTTTTAGCACTATTTCTTCACACAGTCCTCTAATACATCCTATTATCTAGCCATAGGAACTGGTTCAACCTCGTTAGCACAACTATGCAGCACGTGGCGCATGTTTGTGCGCTCGCTGGCCCGAATCCGTGCAAGGATAGACCTTTGCGCAAGATGTTACTGCCCCAACGTCGAAATGAATTTTTTAGCACTATTTCTTCACACAGTCCTCTACTACATCCTATTACCTAGCCATAGGAACTGGTTTGACCTCGTTAGCACACCTATGCAGCACGGGGCGCATGTTAATGCGTTTGCTGGCCTAAAACAGTGCAATAATAGGCCTGTGCAATCATGAGATTGATAAATTAGTTCAAGGATAGGCACAGGAAGCGGTGAATCTTTTGTCAGAATATTATCTTATTGTTCTAGCCTGTAGTGGGGTGCTCTATAGCGAGTACAACCTTTCTAGGGTTTGCTATTTGTATCCTCATTCTTGCTAGTTCAATCCTCTTTCTTCCTTCTAATTTTGACATGCTATCAGAGCAGGTCGATCCCCTTGGATCGATCCTGTGGGTGGGTTACCACCTCGCTTCCGCTGCTACTTTTTCCTCCCGCCGTGCGCCCCGAGGCGCGCGGCGGTTTTCTGCCCGCCGTGCGCCCCGAGGCGCGCGGCGGTTCATTGCCCGCTGTGCGCCCCGAGGCGCGCGGCGGGCTTCTCCCCTACGTCGCGGCCCCGCCCCGATCGTCGCGGCCCCGCCCCTTGACGCGGCCCCGCTCTACGTCGCGGCCCCGCCCCGGCCCGTCGCCGCCCGTGCGCCTGCCCGGCTCGGCCCCGCCCTTCGTCGCGGCCCCGCCCCGGCCCGTCGCCCCCGTGCGCATGCCCGGCTCGGCCCCGCCCTTCGTCGCGGCCCCGCCCCGGCTCGTCGCCGCCCGTGCGCCTGCCCGGCTCGGCCCCGCCCTACCTTCGCGGCCCCGCCCAACGTTGCGGCCCCGCCCTATGTCGCAGCCCCGCCCTACGTCGCGGCCCCGCCCTATGTCGCGGCCCCGCCCCGACCGCCGCGGCCCCGCCCCTCGTCGCGGCCCCGGCCCCGTCCCCCCCCCCCCCCCCCCCCCCCCCCCCTTTTCTCCCCTCCCCCCCAATTCCCGTCGCCCGTCGCGGCTCCTTCGGGGGCCCTCTCCTTCGTCTCCCACTGCTGCAGCTGTCGCTGAGGGGGGTGGTTATGTGGGAGACTGGATTTAGGGTTTTAGGGGGGTGCGTGGGAGTAGAGCTAGTGGTGTAGCAGTGGGTGTGTATCAGGGGGGTGGGACTGTGTGCGGGAGGATGAGCGGAGGTTGCCAGTTTGTCGTCAGCAGCACCTGTAGTCCGGGGCGCTGTCCCGGTAGCCCAGTCGTAGCCAGCTGTGCCAGCCGCCCGTGGGTCCGTTGCCCGTCCGCCGCTATTTGAGCCGCGGGGCCTGTTACTCCTGTAGTCCGGGCGCTGTCCGGTAGCCGCTGTGCCAGTCTGCCTCCTGTTGCCCGTGTGTCTGCAGCTTCAGCCGTCGCCTCCTGTCTCCTCTCCCCTCACTCTCCCTCCTCCTCCTCACTTGCCCGTTGTGACTACCACTAGCTTTGCTTATAATTGTGAACTCTAAACTATTTCTTCTTGAACTTGTGCTCAGAATGTGTGGTGACATTGTGATCCACCCTGAGCTTGTTTTGCTTTGCCTGCTCTGCTGATTACACCCCACTTTGGCTATGGGGGTGTGTCATAATATTATCTTATTGTTCTAGCCTGTAGTGGGGTGCTCTATAGCGAGTACAACCCTTCTAGGGTTTGCTATTTGTATCCTCATTCTTGCTAGTTCAATCCTCTTTCTTCCTTCTAATTTTGACATCTTTTGTGCACGCATTTGTTTTTGTACTGCTTGAAAATCATGAATTTGTATAGCGTGCTTTAATATTGTCGTCGACGATTATAGATATCATTGATTTTTTTGTATTAATTGGCGAGAAATACACATCAAAATGATATTCCTAATTGCCTATTTTAGCTCTCAGATATGAGATATTAATTACAAGTAGCTTTATTTATACATAAGTCTTAGGCTTTGAAATATACTGAAAGTCTCGAGTGTATGCATCTCAAATATATCAATTTTACACTACTCCTTGCCTCGCCGCCCACATCTGCATTCCTGTCAGAAATCTGCCAGAAATCAAGAATTACTGTTCATTCTTGACGCGACTCGGGTGCACCCGAACATTTCGGTCAAGCACACCCTGCCTCATGGATTCCCATGCGGAAACCAGCGGATTTCCGTCAGAAATCTGATGGAAGTCCGAATCTGCCAAAAATATCGAATGCCATTGTGAAATGACTCATTTCGACCCTCGGAAACCTCGAACCTGAACCGGGTTTTTTGTGATGTTAGGGTACATTCCGCTCTGGACACTTTCTCAAAGAAAGTGTTCGAATCACTTTTGGCCCGAGTCGCCCTCAAATGTCTCGGAACCTCATGTCCCAATCAAGAAATGTACTGCGACCCTGCACGATCGCGCGACAATTATGTGCTTGCGTGCCGAGGTGAGCTTGGATGTTGCCGAGCTGTATAGCACGTCCACCTTTACCCTTGATTCTGTAGCTGGTGTTGCCAATAGGGTCTGCCTGTTTCAAGCAAACTGTACACTTCAAGGCAGGACTAACATTAGTCATTTTGACAAAGTTTCAGCCGTGGAGATATCTTGCCCAATCACCATGGTACCTATTTTCCATCACTGCGTGCTCAGCTTTCGCGTCATTGGTCGGAGTGCTAGGAGGGCGTGGTAGATCAATGAGAGGAGGGTTAACGGCAGGGGTAGGCGGAGGAGGTCCCCGAAGTCGTAGCTGAGTCTACTTGCTAGGTCGCTGTCATTTCGCCAAATCTTGTCACTTGAAAACCAGCATGGTTTTCAGACAGAGTTGCGGACGATTCCCCTCACTTGTCGTTAGGACGGAGAGGATGCTCAGGGCATGCATCCGAGGGGACCGATGTTGGTTCAAACCTCCAACTTTGTGCTATGGAATGGAGTGGTGTAACACGGCTACTTTGTGGCGGACATGGTGGGGCAACGGATGGTGGGTGGAAAGGGAAAACTCAGAGCACACAAAGTGCATTGCATGCTAGCTCCCTAGATTTGTTCGACTCCCCATCCTCCATGGTGGACGGATGGTTGCCTAGAATCAAGAAAGGGATAGATGAGAGGGACGGACTACCATGCTAGGCAAGCTTTCAATAATGACCCTCTTTATGACGAGCAGCAGTGACGAGGTCGAGGTCGATGCAGAGCTGGCTAGCGCGGAGATGTCTGATGCTGTTGCCTCCTCAAATGAGGTGGAGGTCACCGGGTAGGACGTGGAGAGAGCTGCCCAGGGGTGGAGCGATGAGGACGATGATTGGTATAAGGGGGAGGAGGTGGAGAACTGGGTGGCAGGCAGGGCCCAAAATTGGTTTTAGGCCGCCCTGCCTAATCTCGGTCTCAGCCTGTCCCACCCTGATGGCCTAGGGTAAAATTTCTCATACACTGACAAATACAGGCTTAAAAAAAAAATGCCCTGACTGAACCAAAAGAACGTACATATTTGGTTTTTGTAACAACGTTAGTAAATGACCTAGCCAGTTATATGATTTCCTCCGAATTGAAAAGTTAAAGGTTTGAACCTTGATGCGTGCGCGACGTCCTCTGGGGCCAATCGGGATTCTTCGGATTGCTGGTATAATAACCCTTGTGTTGCAGTTCTTAGTCAGGGAAAGGAAACTACTACACTGTTTTTGAAAGGGTTAAAAAAAACCACTAATTTGAAGAAAGGGTAACTGTACGGTTAGCCTGCCTTGATCAGGGTAACTGAAAAAAGCGGCCTACAGAAAGGGCAAAAAGGGTATTTTACCCTGATATTTTGGGCCCTGGTGGCAGGGGAAATGACCCCTAGAGTTCCCCTTTAGCTTGACATTAATCATGTAATGACATTGTGGCAAGCCTTCTAGAGCCGCAATTTGTATTCTGAGTCGATTAAGCAAACTATAAATGATTAATTTGGCATGGTAAGTGGCCCTAAAAAAAATAGGGAGAGGGGGGATGGGAAGGGTTTAGGGTTGAGTTGAATTCGGAGGAAATAGAGGAGGTCATTCCTCCAAAATGATTTCTTCATAATTGAAAAATAGAGGGAGGGGGGGGGGGGGGAGGGGGGGGGGGGGGGGGGGGTGGGGGGGGGATAGAGAGGGGTGCTCCAATGTGTTCAACGAAAACATACGTAAATAGAGAACCGAGGGTATACTATGGTGGGAATCTTTTACCCGAGTGATCAGGGTTTTGGGTTTAGCCCGAGGGCAAATCTTCAAGCTTAGTTTTGAGCTTTTACAGAACCAGCATACTCTAAGGTCTCCTACAACTAAAGGACTCCCTTTGCCCTCCAATAAGGTATGAACTGAGCAACAGTATTCCCTCGTGAACTCTACATTGATGATACTCATCCGTCACGATTTTAGACTGGGTGTTGAGTGATGAAGCTCCCGTCATCCCCAATCATCTGGAGTTGTGCCTCGAGACTTCCCACACCTGCGAAAGCATCTTTCATCTCCTGGACCTGCGCATCCACCTTAACTGCAGCACTGAACTCCTTTTTCCCCGCCACCTCCCTCACTGCCTGCAGCTCCTTGGCAATGTGCGCCATGCTTGGGCGGCTTGCAGTGCGCTCTACGGTGCAGCTCACTGCCAGCTCTGCCACGCGCAGCAACACATCCCCGGGGGCGTCCATGGTGGGGTGCTTGAGGCTCTCTACGTCGCCCGATGACAGGCACTCGGATGCCTAATGGAGTGGAAAAATGTAATAAATGGCAACAGCAGTCCAAAGAAGTCAAGCGCAGGTCAGTCAGCCATTGATGCCGATTTTATCAATTTGATAGGGAAAATAGAATCACGTCAACAGCACACAAGCTGTCCACAGGGAACGTACCCATGGCATGATCTGCTTGGTGTCCCCAGCATCTTCAGAGAGTGGAGGGCGACCAGTGACCACTACAAGCATGAGCACAGCGAAGCTGCAACGTGGGAGCGATGGTGAAAGCAGCGCAAAGGCGAAATGAGAATTATAAATGATGATAGCATGCCACAGAGAATGGGTCACCAGCTCAAAAACAAGCAAGATATATTACACACGCAGGAGAATGATTCTGGGTGTTCTTTCAACCAGGTTGGATAGGTTGGCCAACTAGCCAAGCGTGGAGGTTGGTATTCTGGTCTGAAAATGACTCGTGGCTCACCTGTAGACATCGCTGGCTGCGGTGGCCTTGGACGTTCTGGAGTAGACCGGATCCACATAGCCCGGTGTTCCCATGATGCGAGTCGTGCCCACTGTCGTGCCCTCTCCTGCTCTCACCAGCCCAAAGTCTGCAATCTTGGGCTGATGAGTGGTTTGACGTTAGGATACCGTGAATACCATAATACCATGAAGGGAGAAGAAAAATACAGCATCATTTAATGATGAACCAGCATTGCACCTAGACAAGACCGGACAATGAGGTCGAAACACACTTTCTTCTGGCACGACCCTTGCGTTTCCATCCCGATTCTTAGAGCGTGTAACCATTTTGACATTTTGTGTTTTTGCGGACGGTCCGCTTGCTTAAATTCGGACGGTCCTAATAACGAGGGTATGACCGTCCGAATCGACGGTTCGGCACTTTGGTAACGTCCGAAGTGGATGTTGACACTTTTTCACGCTTCTTCCACTTCGCGAGCACTATAGCATGGCGAGAGTCTCGTGACCTATCGTAACCCAATTTGAGCCCTTCGCGGTTTTCGCGTATCCCCCATGCCAATTTGTAATTTTGTGCCTCGGATTTTGTAAGAAAATATCGATTTCGCACGCCAATCTCGTGATAGGACTTTCAGACGGTCCGAATTCGTTTCAGAAAGTCCACTTCTGACATTTCGTACCGTTGATGTGGGGAAAAAGTGTCACTACCGTCCGAGTTAATAGCGAAGTCGCAAGGGTCCTAACGAACACCCTAACAAGACAGTACGAAGTTGGTAACCCTTCGTTTCCCGGATGGTCCACAATTCGGACCGTCCGGAACAAGTGGCAAAATGGTTCCACGCCCTTGCACTACTTCTAATTGTGGTTCTGCAACCGTGCTTGCCTGCATGTCGGAGGTGATAAGGACGTTGGCGGGCTTGATGTCGCGATGCACAATGCCAAAGCTGTGGAGATACTCAAAGCCACGTGCAATGCCGATGAGAATGTCCAGCCGCTGCTTCAGATCCAGAGGAGCAGGTGCTTCTGCAACAATGTCAGAGCCACGGGATGAGCTTCACAACAAGCATCACACAGCATGAGGGGCCTGAAGTGAGTGGTCTAGAATGAGGGGCCTGAAGTGAGTGGTCTATAATGAGAGGCCTGAAGTGAGTGGTCTAGAATGAGTGGCATGGTATGAGTGGTTTAGTATGAGTGGCCTTGTATGGCTCATGAGTGAGTGCGATATGATGACCTGCACACGTACTTGGTCCTATCCACCTGTCGAGGTCACCGTTGGGCACAAACTCGTAGATCAAGACCTGCTCGATTTTAGACCTGACGTCCCCTCCAACTGCAAACCCTAGCAGTCGCACAATGTTGGGATGGTTCTTGTCTGCCATTTGCTGGATCTGAAGTGAGGGAGAACGAGCACACAGGAACAGAACAAGCAAAAAGATTAGATGCCGAAGAAGAGGCAGAGGAGCAGAGAGAGAGAAGACAGCGGAGCAGAGTGAGAGGAGAAAAGGAGAAATAGAGAAGAGAAATCAGAGCAGATAGGGAAGAAGCTGTACATTACGGAGCACAACATGTAGTCACCTACTCGAGGTTGCTTTTCGTCTTGCTTGGAAGTAACAGAGAAGTAAACCACCCAGCGTGTCAATAGACTCTGCAGTCAAGCCATCTCCCCATGCGCGGCTCGCTCACGTCCCTCTGGAAGTCCATGTCTATGAGCTTGGCGCGCTTGACAGCCCACTCTGTTGTGCCATCGTGGGGAGAGACGCCCTTGTAGACATCACCAAAGGCACCCGAGCCAAGCAGGTTGTCCTGTGACCAGTCGTTGGTGGCCTTGAGCACCTCGTCCAGGGAGAACTCCGTGCAGTGTGACGCTGCCAGGCTGATGCCCATGCCTGGTCGTGGGGTGGGGGGGAAAGGGTGAAGGATGAAGAGTCGTTCCAAGAGCTCTTAGGACCATGCACAGTACATAACGAGGAAAAGAAAGCAGGAACAATACAAATGAAGGAAGATCTTAGAAGACGCGTGTCGCAGATCAGCTGAGAACTTAGAGCACCTCTGGCTCTGCAACGCTGCACCTACCTTTTGATCTGCGATGCTTCTGGTGCCTGAAGCACAGAAGGAGGGCAGCCAGAAGCAGGGGGAGAGTTACCACAGCGGCAACAGCAATGCCAACGATAGCTCCCACTGATAGACCACCTCCACCTCCAGATGCAGCTGGAGAAGAAGAATCACTGCCACTACTGCTGCTGCCACTACTGTTGTTGCTACTACTGCTGTTGCTCCTGCTGCTGTTGATAGCTGGTTGTGGATGAGCACAAACCAATGCAAGTAACAGCAACAGCAGAAACATGTCGTTTGAGCAACGAGACAGGATATAGCTGAAGAGAAGAGAAAGAATGTCCTTTGAGCAAAATAGATGCACCGGAAGTTACAAGACTGAAAGCATGTCAATATCAGGGGCGATCCAAGTCAACTAGGCACATATTATCGGCGCCCTTTGACCTGGAGATTGCTGGCATGTCAGGCAGAAGGTGGAACATTTCTGGCAGAAAGACGTATTTGACGATTGACTTTGTCCGCAGCTGGTGTTGTCAGCAGGACAAGAGAGGTTGGCGCCCTTGGTATTGCTGCAATAGAAGTGGGCGAATTGACAAAGAAGAGAATATGCATCTGAGAGGTTGGCGCCCTTGGTATTACTGTCTTGTGATAGTGCCAAGTGTCAGTGCCTGTTGTACCATGCCATGTGATGCTTGTATGTGATGCTTGTGAATTTGAACAACTTTGTGCCTACTTTTGCATGCATCAAGTCATGGGATGCAATCTCATACATATCAAATATCAAATTCAAATTGATTTCCTCATTCTAAAAATAATATTTTGACATGGGGAAACTTATGAGATGGGGTTTCAAAGGATAAAAATTCACAACTACAGATGAGCAAGTAACCGAACTTGATAGTCTTTCACATGCTTTTACGACTATCTTCGGACTGGACTCTTACACCATCCTTGAGTTCCTACAGCATCGTCAGGACAAGAGGCCCACATGCAAAGTGCAATAGCCGGAGAGGTGTGGCTGATTAGTCATATGAACGGCAGCAGTGCATGGAGCATACACTGAAGGTGAATGAGGAGTGTGACAATCAATGCCAGACACCTCAACGCCCCCCAAAACAGCTTCAACTCTTACTCGTTCCCGAACATCATTGGCTACAACAGCTCCAACTCCCACTCGCTCCACTCAGCTTACAGTTCGTGCAAACGCAAAAGGTTCCCAAGCCCAGTTGAAATCGACCCGGAGAGTGGATTATTGCCCAAATCCCTGTCCACAAAGGGTGGTTGAAAGGCCTGAACAGTATGGAGCCACAAAAGAACGGAACTTCTAAGAGATGATGACTCGGAAGGCTGAGCTTGCACCGTGCGCCACATGTGAGTTCTGCTATAGCAATAGAGCCGTGGATTTATTGAAGTACCGCCAAAGAGTTGGTGCAGTCGGGAAGAACAAGAAGTGGCGAGGGGTTCCAGACAGCAGAGGGGGGAAGGAGCGGGCGTGCAGAGTGCATGGGCAGTGGAGGAGTGCCAGCAGTGATGCGCACATGGCATGCAGCACCCAGTGGACAGAGCAGCACGCAGGTGAAAGAAACCAAGTATGCCCCTTACAACTTTGTGAGTGCCGTGAGCGCGGAGATGCTGTCAGGAATGGAGCTCGTGAGGGAGTTTGTGTTAAGATCACTGTGTGGGGTGATTCAGTTTAATATGAGGAGACAAAAGGCTTGAAAACTCAATTAAAACTATAACTCTTGTCCACAAAGGGGTTATCAGAATTTGGAAGGCATAATCGGAGCGGTTTGAGCGTGAAAGCCTTAGAGGAGTGAGGCTGCTAAGGTTAATAATGTGTAGACGCAATTACCAGTTATGCTGAAGCAGCAAACACGTGAATCCAATGTGGTATAACCGGTAGGTTGGTGCAGCAGGGAGGAACAATAGTGATGAACAGATGCAGAAATCAGAGGAGGGAAGGAGTGGGCATGCAGAGTGCAAGGGCAGCGGAGGAGTGCCAGCAGTGATGCGCACATGGCATGCAGCACCCAGTGGACAGAGCAGCACGCAGGTGGAGCAAACCCAGCATGCATCTTACAGCTCTTTGAGTGCCGTGAGAGCGGAGATGCTGTCGGGAATGGAGCCAGTGAGGAAGTTAGTTCCAAAATCACTGTTTGGGGTGATTGAGTTGAGCACGAGGAGACAAGAGGACCGGAACTTCGTCCAAAACTGGAATTCATGTCCACAAGGGGATGCAGGAATCTGGACACATAATCAGCTCAGGGCAGCTTGAGCAAGGCAAATGTAGGATTGGTAAGGTTGAGAATGGTTGGAGGTATGCTGAAGCAACAAACCCGCGAATCCAATGTGGTATAATCAGTAGGCTAATGCAGCAGGGAGGAACAAGCGTGACGAAGTGATGCAGACAGCAGAGGGGGGGAGGAGTGGGCGCCGCAGAGTATGGGCAGTGGAGGAGTGCCAGCAGTGATGTGCACATAGGATGCAACACCCAGGAGCAGACCCATTATGCCTCTTACAGCAATGTAAGTGCCGTGAGCGCGGAGACGCCGTCAGGAATTGATTCCACGAGGGAGTTAGAGCAAAGATTTCTGTGAAGAGTGATTGAGTTGGGCGTGAGAACACAAGAGGCTGGAATCTCGACTGAAGTTAAAATCATGTCTACAGCAGGTTGTTGGTTGGAGCTTGGAAGGCAAATGTAGGAATGAGACTGTTAA